AATAATAACTGCGTAGTCCCTTTTCGTTTATGTTTCGAAAAACCCGTCCTGCCTCATTAATTTTTAGTCTACAATCAACGGATCAGTCGTGCATATAATTAGCTTTGGGGTGTTTTTTAGTAACAACCGTAAAGGTTGTTTAGAAAACTGCTAGAATACCAGATGTACTCTAGTTATAGATTCTTGTTGCTGGTTCAGTCTCTAAATTTTTTTTGAAAGCATAGTGCACCTGTATGTGTACTTAATAACTTTTTTTTTTTCGCGTGTGATCGGCACAACAAATTCTTCTAGTGTTCGCCCCTGCATATATAATGAGCGGTGTTTTGATTTTAGAGAAAAACAACGGCGAACGAGTCTTAAGTAATGTGAAGCGCTTAAAATTAGATGTGAAATGTTTTAAATGTAGATGCTACGTTCACTCTCGTCCGGCTTGGTTCTCCCTGAGTTTCAAAAAACCGCATCTATATCATTGAAGTTTAACACAGTTATAAGCTTATCAGCTGAAAATAAGGCTAAATCGCAACATTATTTAAAATATTAATATTTTTTTCCGCAATGAGTGTTGTGTTGTACTTTTTTCACTGCTTACAGAATCCTCACGAGACCCGGACATTAGCCAATCAGGTCACACGTAAATGACGTATATTCTAAATTCAGTTGTATAGAAATTAGTGCATTCAGCCTATACGGAGCTTCTTGATCAATTGCATTTCGCAACCCATAGTAATTGACTTGCAATCTCGCGGTTTTAAGACACTGAATTTCAAAAATGGCTCAAGGTGGAATGGTGCTTGTCAAATATCTGTTGTTTTTCTTCAATCTCATCTTTTGGGTAAGCTGAAAGTGTCTTGTTCATTCCGTGATGACTCTAGTAGCCCTGCTCCAACCCAAGTCGATAACCCTTAGGAGTAGTTTTACATTACGCATAATTTTACCTTCACTTGTAGTTCGCTCACAGCTTTATCCGCGCCAGTGTGTATATGTACAACTTTCTTGTAGAGTTGATGTTGTTGTTGTTGTCTGAAGCTTTCACGATCGTTCAGGGTGGTACGGACCTCGGCTCTTTCGGTTAAAGAGATGCGCTTTCGTTTTCCGTCTTTGATTATGGCGACCTTCATTTAAATATTTTGTGGGAGGGACCGATGAAAGGCAGACAAATTTCGTAAATTAATAGTAGAGTCGCTTTCATCTGGTGCACAGGGTGATCCGAAAGAGGTGCGGGTATCAATATTTTCGTCCGTTTCATGCCAAGTTCAACATAATAGGCGGAGATAAATAATTTCGTTTTTAGCTCGTAAATTACTCCAAGCACTCTCGGTGTACTACTTAATTGCTAATTTTCTTATACTTTGTGGCTGAATGAAATCGGTAAAAGTCTTCTCAGAGAATTATCGTGCGAAATTCACTGAATTATTGATGTAGAGTTTATACAGAAGAGATTGAGAAAAAAAATGGCGAGGTGGCTGTGCGCGGAGGGTGAAAATTTTTCGGGAATCTTCTTTGATCGATTTACAACTGGTGCAATGTTGGTGACGCGTGAAACAAAATGTGCTGGACTGATCATTTTATTTTTCTGAAATTAAAACCCTCGGTGTAAGTTTAGCTATTTGACTAAATGTTTTCTCATTTGCGATATGCCAAGGATATTTAGTTGGGAATTTTTAAGTACACAAACAAGTCAAGTTTTACAATTTGTATGTTGTGCACCATCTACCAGAGTTGGGCCTTCAAGTCATCTCGCAGTTATCGTTTAGTGAAACGGTAGTATTTAAATACCTAAATCGCTTTAAATCCTCGGCTCAGAAGTTTTAATTTTCAATTTTCAATGTTTCCCCTGAAATAATACCCCCAAGTGTTCCTGTTTTGTGGAGTGCCAAACTTTTTGGAGTCGCCTAGTTTTATTTACCCAACAACCTCTCTTTATAATTATCTGTTCTAATTCAGCATACTTGTTTTCTTACATGAATGGTCTCAGCACAACTGCATAATAGTTCTTCTAAATCTGTGATGAAGAAATATGCAGATTTACTAACGATGAAAATATGTGAAGTAGAAGAGTTTTAAAATTAAATTCTAAAGCCAACCCAATGTGAACCTGTTATGGTTACTATAGGTTTGACATAAACGTTTGTCTTTAATAGCTGGTGACTTTGAATATCAGAAAGTTACCATCGAACCATCCAATGTTGGTGTGGGCAGACTGCTGTGAACAGAAATCGACAGAACTTGTTCTAATATCTCAATTTTGCCTTTTTTGAATACAGAAATAAGGATAAACTCTTCATAATTCTTTAATTTAAAGCAAGAGGTTTTTTATTAAAGGTGGAAAGTTTTTGTCCTGTTCCCAAGTGACAAGCCATGCAACTTATTGATGCATTACTGACAGGATCTTTTGTTGCTATAGTGTTTTCAGCAGACTGGTTGAAATTTGGGAACCATTCTTTAACATTTCGCTCTTGAACTTAAAGAAGAGTGGATTGTTAACCAAGTCATTCATGCACTTTCACAAGTGTTTCTTACTGTAATTTATAATATCTAGGATAAGATGCTTAAAAATTGTACATTGCAGTAAGTTTGTCACAGAATTATCGCTTCCTCGACCCTTTTATTTTCAATATCTGACAAGTGATTTTCCCCTCTAGTAATTACAGATTATGCAAGGGCTGCTTGCGGCCTGAGGTATGATATGAATTATACGAAGATAAAGGAGGCGAGATATAACAATGTAACACCACTTTATTTCACTCCAAAATAGCGAAAAAATTTACAGAAATGTGATAAGAAAAAAAGAAACACAAAGAGGGCATGTGACCATGGTCCCAGTCTCATAACACCCTACACGCCACTGAACACTCCGCCATTTTCTTGAGCGACTGAAAAAAAAAAAAAAACAAGGAAGAACAAGGTTACAAATAAATGATACAAGGTTCACGAGACAACTGCTTCTATTGGGGGGGAAGGGAAGGGATATTGTTATATCTCGCCTCCTTTATCTTCGTATAATTCATATTATACCTCAGGCCGCAAGCGGCCCTTGCATAATCTGTAATTATACTTCAGAACAGTCGTCTCAATATAGCAATGTAAGTTCAAAGGAACTCATGAACCTAAGTACCATGTCCTAAAACTTGCCGAGCAACTGAGGGGTTGAAAACTGGTCTCTAGTAAAAACAAACAAAAGTAGAATCCTGTGAACAGTCTGCTAAAGACAAAATGTCTTTGAGGGAAATTCCTGCACTCATAGCTGCAGATGAAGCAGCACCTCAGACAGAATGAGCTTTAAAAATGGTGGTGTCTACCCCAGCACTGCATAGAAAGGAAACAAGCCATCTACTCAAGGACTCTGATGAGATAGGTCGGTGAGGGCAAATGTAAGAAAGCAACAGCTTGTTGGGTTTAGACCTTTCTGAATGAGCATGAAAAGGTTCAGTTCTTTTCTCATACTCCTTAAGACAATCCACCACACAGAGCTTGGGATTGTCAGGAAAGCTTGCATGAAAAGAGGCCTTTAGGACCTTGGTGAAACCTAGATTTCTTAGTCAACTCTGGAAGATCAAATACTACTCCGTCAACAATTTCAGATACTTGTTCCACAGAGGTAAGAGCAAACAAGAGACCTAACTTTAGGGACAAAATCTTCAAGGTTAGAAGGTCATTATTACCCAAAGACTCCATGTAAGATAAGGCCTTTACCAAGGGATGTTCACCCACTCGCAAGGAATCGACTCTAGGGTGTGTCATGGAAATGGCTGACCGGTAAACATTGAGGGTTCAGTAAGCTTTCCCAGCCTCATATTCAAAATCCAAAAATTCTAGTATGGCAGAGACATCTGCTTGAAGGGGATTAATTTGCCTTTGAGAACACCAGCTAGCCCATTTTCTCCAAGCTGAGGCATAAACATCTGAAGTGCTCTTCCTCCAGGCAGCAAGGAGTAAAGTTTGAGTTGATCCTGAAACTCCTGCCTCTGTGGAGGATTGGCTGACACTAGCCAGCCTGCTAGTTGTAGATCGGATAGAGGGTGGATTTGCCCCTGCCTGGATAGGAAGTTTGGCAACATTAGAGGTGTTGCAACACACAGGTCTAGTAACAGTGGATACCACACTTGAGTTTTCCAAACAGGCTGGGACCTCCTGAGCCAAGACCTGTTGAAGACAGCAACCGACGAGAGCAAATGGCGGGAAGGCATAGCCATGCACCTTGCTACAGTCCAGGGAGAAAGCATCGAATGCTTCTGCCTCTGGATCTGATCTCTAGCTGATGAACTTGGGAAGTTGTGCTGAGAGACGGGAAGCAAATAGATCTAATTGAAGGGTCCCAGTGATTGATTTGCAAGGTTGAAAACAGCTGGAGACAACTTCCAGTCATTGTGATCGTGAAATGTTCGGGACTCGTGATCTTCCCTGACATTCAAAACTCTGGGAATGTGTTGGGCTTCTAACAAGATTTTGTGTTCTAGACACCAACTCCAGAGGTCTGATGCTAGCTGAGCAAGGACTGGAGATTTTGTACCTCCCATTTTGTTTATGTAAGGGGTAGCCGATACATTGTCCATGAGTAAGCAGATTTTCATTTGAATTTTGTTTTGAGCAAAAACTTTCACTGCAAAGGCACCAGCAAAGAGTTCTAAGCAATTGATGTGGAGCTTCTTCTCCCGGTTTGACCATAGACCCCCTGTGGAGACTCCTATGCAGAACGCTCCCCAGCCTTTCTGGGAAGCATCTGTCTCTATCACTAGGTCTGAGTCCCGTGTGGACAGAGCTTTTCTGTTCCAAGCTTCTAAGTTGTCCTTCCACCATACAAATTCCTCCTTTGCAAGGAGGCTCAGTTGAAAGGTGGCTGCATAATTCTGATTTACACTGAAGGCCCTGTTCTTGTCTGCCAGTAAATGCCGGAAGTGGAGGGGGGCTGGAAAGACTGCTTGGATGGGGGAAGTGAGAAGGCCCAAGACCATGGACTGCTCCTGGATAGTTGGAAGGGGGTTGTATAGCAAAAGTTGGCACTCCTTTTCACTTTCCTGACTTTGTCTCGAGGGAGTGAAAGGGTCAGAGTTACTGAATTTACCGTAAACCCCAGAAACTCTATTATTGTTGTTGGGGAGAGCACAGACTTCTTGAAATTCACTAGAAATCCCAGTCCCTCTAATAATGTCAGGGCTGTTGTTGTCTAAGATCTGGGAAGTTCTTTCGTGTCTGCCATAATGAGCAGGTCGTCGAGGTAAAGAATGACTCGAATACCTAGGTGTCTTAACAAGCCCACCACTGGTTTCATTAATTTGGTAAATATCCGAGGTGCTGAGGCCAGGCCGAAGGGGAGGCAAGCAAACTCGAAAAGGTCCTCTTTCCAAATAAACCTTGGAAATTTCTGATGCTTTTCCCAAATGGAAAGTGTGAAGTAAGCATCCTTTAAATCCAACTTGACCATGAAGTCGCCTTTTTTTAGCAGGTCTCATAACATATGCACTCTTTCCATTTTGAAGTACTCATACCTTGGGAACTGATTTAAATTTCTTAGATTTATTACGGGTCTCTGACCACCCCCTTTTTTGGGCACCAAAAATAGATTGCTGACAAACCCTTTGTGTGAGTGTTCCAGAGGGACCTTGTGAACTGCACCCTTCTGTAACATCTCCTGAACCTCCATCTCCACCAATGAAGTTTCCTCTGGGTAGAAAGAATGTGGAAGTGGGACTCTTTCTTGGAAGGGGGGTGTCACAAAGTCAAGGTGTGCCCCTCGAACCATCCCCAGAATCCATGGGTCTACACAAATTAATTCCCAATTCGCTATACAATGTTTTAAGCAGCCTGCCAGGGGAATATGATCTATCTTTAAAACATAGAGGTTTAAGTTCATACCTGGCTGAAAAATAGGTTGGCTGTCTACTGGGTGAGGTTTGTCTGTGGGAGTTGTGGACTGGGATAACCCCTGTTCTTTGTTGGTCTTCCTCCCCTGTAACAAGAGAGGCCTCTGAAGGGGGGGGAGGGATGTACTGGGGGTCCCATACACACCAGCCCCTCACCCCCCTCGGAATCTGGATGGGGTGGTGCGACCACGAAAAAACTGTTGACTGCAGCTCACGTTTGCTGCTTGTAGAAGTGTTTTTGCTGTTTCAGATCTTGCGTTAAGACGTTCCTCAAAGCTGCTCCCAAATAGACTTTTTTCGGCATCCGGGAACTCCTCAGTGGCCAGGGAAGTCAAAGACCCCTTGGCATTGATTTTCTTTTGGACCGTAGAGCGGTGTTCTTTAGCAAGGAGAGCCGAGGCATTTCCAAGCAAGCGTAATCCATGTGCAGAAGCATTAAACAGGCCTTGAAGCTGGTCTGATGAGAGGAGCACAGTTCCTTGCTCTTTGGAGGCAGACAAAATCTCATTCAAATGCTCGTAAAGAAATACCATTGGACCCACGGGGTCCAAGATGCGATCATGAATAAATTTGCCATCTTTATCTGCCTGCTTAATGCCAGGTATCAGGCTGGACAGGCATTCATCCAGCAGAGGGGTATAAGCCACATCAACATCCGGCCTTGGGAACTTGCGATAAATTGCTTTCCATTCAAATGGTTGCAACGGTTTACGGAATGTCTCAATGAATGTAGACAGGTCTTCGCTGGCTTGCCAGCGAGAGGCCGAAGAGTAAATGTCCTCTTCAAGGTCCTCCTCGTGCTCTACGTGTTCACTCAAACGGGGCTGTTTAGCGAAGGGCAGATTGTCACCTTCTTCAGCATCAGCAGACACTGTATTAACCTTTGTCCTTGCCATTTCTTGGGCGTTGAGCACCCCGGCCTGCATTATGCAAGGTTGGTCAGTTACTGGAGCCTTGAGTGCTCCAACTGAATTGGCGGTAAATGCTGACCGGAGTAAATTTAATGCTTCCGGACTGGCAAAAATAGACTCAACTAATACTTTAGGATCTGTTGCACTATTTCTGGAGGATTTTCCCTGGAATTCCCTGACACAGCCATGCTTTCAGGAACGAAATAAAATGGCGGAGTGTTCAGTGGTGTGCGGGGTGTTATGGGACTGGGGCCATGGTCACATACCCTCTTTGTGTTTCTCTTTTTCTTATCACATTTCTGTAAATTTTTTCGCTATTTTGGAGTGAAATAAAGTGGTTTTTCATTGTTATATTGAGACAACTGTTCTGAAGTATAATTGAATATTATCCTGTAAAGGAATTGAGGAAATTTGGTGTTACATCATGGAACCTCCTGATCAGTTTGTTTATTCTCATCATTCTCCTGTCAGCTTATGTGTTGAAATTGTGAGGGAATTTTCATGTGCATCTCTTTGGGAATTTTTAAGAAGGGAACCATGCATTCTTTTGGAGAACTTTAAAGTAAGAAAATGTTGCTGAAGAATGCCAGCGCGCCTTAATCTCTTGGTGTCTTGAGAAATTTCCTAGTTTAATTATCTTTTATTTATCTCGTTTTGGTAGAACGACAAGATTCATACCTCTCACTTCAGCAAACAAACTCAAGCTTTGAATTAATCCATTCAATTTATTTACAGGGACTTTCCCTGCCAGTTGAAAGTGAGCAAAGGGAAACCTGGGTTGATAAATTTTTGAGGGAAATGTGGAAAGGCAAAATATTGTCGTCATCTTTGAAAGTACAGTAGTTATTCAGTTATAAGACGCACCCAAACTTGGCAACTTAGTCAAGCCAAGTTCCCAAATGTAAAGTTTTGTGAAAATACTCGGTTATAAGACACACCAAAAGGTTGAGAGTTAACCAAAGGTGTGATGGATCTGAAAAAGTTTCATGGTTGCTCTGGCAGTGAAAGCAAAAAATTGGAAAAAAACTCCCAGTTTGACAGCTAAATATCAAAACACCACAGAGTTGATGATCAACAATTAGTGTTTTCATGTCTTCGTAACTGTAAGTTCTGCTACAATTGTGATCTTAACATTTTGTTGCGCAAAAATACTCGGTTATAAGACGCACCCCAAGTTTTGAGCAGATTTTGATCAAACAAGCATATTTTCTCATAAAAAATGGTGTGCCTTATAAGTGAATAAATATGGTAGATCAAGATAATTTGCTGAAGTGTTGTTATTCTTTCGTAGAGATAGGAAAATGTTTGCTTGCTCCTTTACCGATCAGATTGCAGAATTTGTAACGGAGTCCTCTTTGAAAAAATAAATTTCCTTAAATTGTAGCCAAATCTGATTCAAGTTTGCTTTTTTGTAGATCTCTGGCATTGTTTTGATGGGCATTGGTGCTTGGATCAAGCTAAAATACAAAGACTTAATTCAGCTAAGTGAAAGTAATGCAGCAACTGGTGCAGTGTTTCTTATTATCATTGGAGTCATTGTTGCAATTGTTGGCTTTTTGGGATGTTGTGGTGCCTGGAAGGAGAATTACTGCATGGTCACAACGGTATTGGCTCTCATATTTCATAACTGATTATCTTTTTGTCACTATTCTTTTTAACTTATTTAACCACGTAGAATATGTGCTTGTGAATGATGCACACCCCTAATTTTGACCACATTTTTTAGAAAAAAGTTTTCACAACAAAGAGACAAATCAAATCTTCGCACAATTATTTAATGTCATCATTATTTGTATTAGTTATTGGCTACATGTATCACAACACAAAATGATTCAGTCAAGTTTTCATTTAAAGCTCATGACAAGATCTTCAACTCCAGCAATGTTCAAAGAGACTGCTTCCGATTTTTTTCCCATTAGTGTGAAGTATAGTTTTGATAACTATGAGTCAGTAAGTACAAAGGCCCCGAAATCATCTATGATAGTTAATGGGAACCCTCCACTTGTTTTCCTTTAACCCCTCCTCCTTCCCCTTCCTCCTTCCCCTTCCTCCTTCCCCCCCCC